CCAAGTCTTTACTTCACTGGCTCTGCCCCTTTGTTTTTTTTTTTTCATGTCCATTTCATTCATTTCTACTCTAATCTTAATTCTTTCCATCTCTTGGTTTTTAATTTGGCTTGTTCTTCTTTTTCCCTAGGCCCTAGAGTGCATCATTCTTTGTTTTCATGTACACATATACACACATAGAAGATAATTTAATTCTTAAATTATTCTTCTAATTACAGTTCAAGTTTTCCTAGGAAACAGTAAGGCACATAATTTACCATAAAGTCAAGGGATGGTCCTGTAGAAGGGGACACTGCAAAACTATATGGCTAAACAGAAGGGTGCAGGGAAGAGGAAAGGGACGGATCTGTGGAAATAAACATCGGGTCCAGGCTGAGCTACAGGCTTTGGTCCCTTCTGCAGTTAAGACTTCTCACCAGTGATGATCTGTACCTGGACATCAGAACCACCGAAGGGGGGAAAAAAAGACAACCATCATCAGTAGCACAAAAACAACAAAGACAACTTCACAGCAGATTTCTTTTCCCTTCTTTTGTCTTTTTGAGACATGGTCTCGCTCCACCCCGGCTGCCTAGAATTCACTCTATAGACCACGCTGGCCTCGATCGCACAGAGATCTGACTACCTCTGTCTTGAGAGTGCTGGGGAAAAAGGCATGAGCCACCATGCCCCGCCTGGTATACCCAGTTTCTTATTGGATGAGCTCCAGCCAGTAGAGAGGCCCAAGACATTGATCAGTGGTAGATCAGCAGCCCCTTTCCTGTTGACTGACAGGTCCACTTCCCAGAATGCAGTTTCGATGAGCAGTATCAGCTTTTAAAGATGTTGCCTTGTCAGTCAATGAGCAATATTTTATAATTTACAATATTTTTAAAACTTTTATCTTTATTATTTTTAGTTACATGCATGTTTCTGGGTAGGGTGTATGTGTACATGATTGCAAGTGCCTGCAAATACCAGGCGCATCAAATCTCTTTGGAGCTGGGGTTACGGGAAGCTGTGAGAACTTAAGATGGGACCTGGGCACTAAACTCAGATCCCCTGCCAGAACATTAAATACTCTTCTGAGCTAGCTCTCCACCTCAATCTACAACATTTTAAACAACACAATTACACAGGTCTCCTGAGCCTCTAAGCCGCACATGGTTTCACGGTGTGTGCCACAGTTAGAGAGAGTGTTACAAATATTCAGTGAGGGTCAGAAATCTCTGGTCAAACCATGCATAACTTGTGTAAGTAAGTGCATTGAGATTTAACAAAATATGAGTCTTAAGAGAAGGAATTTGACTGTTTGCTGTGGTTTTACTTGTTTGAGAACCATTATATAGTCTCCACATAGTCGAAAGTCAGGGTCTGAAAAATTACAGTCAGGTTCAATGCACAGTGAGAGTTGTATCCTAAGGACAGACAGAGGGAGGCCTCACAACAATGTTACCCAGTCACAAAGCACCACAGGTGGTCAGGTGACAAAGCTCTTCCCCAACACAACACCAGAAAACCACACACAGTAACAGTACAGCACCACTCCCCAGAATCCCACACACCTCCTGCTCACTATGATTCTAACACTTGGAGCCAAGTCCAAGACACAAGGCTGGCTTTGCTTTGGAGTCTCTCACCTGTTTCCATGAAAATAACATGCTGCCATTAAAAAAATTAGAAGAAAGACTAGAATAATCCAGAGAAAGTTTGTCTTCGTAGATTCTGCAGAGAGAGAGAACATTGTGAACAGTTAATATCGTCAACTTCGCAGGATCCAGATCAGCTGGGACGCAATCCTGTGGGCAGACCTGAGACGCATCCTCTAGACTGGGATGAATGGGGTGGGAGACTCACCTTAACTCTGGACGGTACTGTGTCAGGGGCCAGGCACCTGAACCAGAGGAGAGAGTGAGCTGAGCACTCACCTCGCCTGCCTGAAGCTCCTGCCACTGTGACTTCCCTGCCAGGATGGACTGTTCTCAGACTCTGAGCCAAAGCAAACCCTCTCTCCATTAAGTTGCTGTTGTCAGGGTACGTCATCACAGGAACAGGAAGGGGAAGCATGCAGACGCCCAGAGGAAACCAAGGGCCAGGGCCAAAGGCACCACACAGCAGGCGCTAAACTCTACATCTGCCTGGTTGGTAACATTTTCCCTGTCAGATCTACCACCCGTCTCCTGGCATCTGTCTCAGCATCAACACTCTTACACAGACAGCATCACACATCAGAGAATTTAGCACATTGCAAGTCCATTAAATGCTGCAAAAACCTGCAATCACAGCTCTTGGGGAGGAGAAGGTTTGGGGTCAGAGTGGGGAAGGAGGATCACCAATGTTAGAAAACTCTAAGAAAAAAAGTATGCTGGAGATGCGTCTCCATTGGTAGAACGATGACCCAGCTTGTACGAAGCCCTGGGTTCAGTCCCAAGCATCTCATAAAACCTGGTCTCGTGTTATACACCTGGAGTTCCAGCATTTGGGAGGCAGAAAGATCAGGAGTTTTAAGATCATGCTCACCCGCATAACGAGGCAGGCTCAAACACCACACACCATGTTCATTAGGATTCTAGACTATTTGATCTTGTATCGCTTATGTCCATCCAGAGAAAACTTCCACAATGTACACAAAGTATATTTCAACCCGACTCCCCTGTACCCCACTCACACCCTGCACACATCACCTACACATACCCTCGGTTTCTATTTTGAAGAACAAGGCTTCCTGGAGGAGCACTGACAGCTCCATCTGGCACATCCAATCTCATCCCCCTGGGCCCTAGGCCAACTCTTCCTACATAGCCTACAGATACATTTGACCTGTATGATCATCTCCACTCACCACCTGAATCACAGGACGGGAGAGATGGCTCAGTGGTTCAGAACACTGGCTATTATTCTAGAGGACTCTGGTTAGGTTCCCATCACCCACATTACAGCTAACAACTGTCGCTAACTCTAGTTGCAGGGGATTAGATGCCTTCTTCTGGCCTCCATGGCCACTACATGCATATGTGTTACTTACATACACTCAGGCAAAACACTCATACACATAATATTAAAAAAATTAAATTAAAGAGCAGAACCAAAGCTAGATATGCTATGATATGAGCCATAACTAGATATGCCAGGACATGAACTCTGCAGTTGCTATTAGCCTATGGGTCGGGTCTGCCTGTGGGAAGCCCTGGCTGGTGGCAGGTCTACCCTTGGTGGCCACGTCATCTCATCCAGAGCCTGTGAGGCAGAATTGATGATCAAGACACAATTAGCCAATAGTGTCTAGAAGGATCCCTTGTGCCTAAGAACCCCTGTCTTCAGGGGACCTGGGTAAGGACATGCTCCCTCATCCCCAAGTAGCTGGCAAGCTCCCCAATCCCGGCCTCATGGACCATCCAGACTCTGAAGCTGCCCTGAGCTGACAAACAGCCCCGATAATACTGTCTCCCCTGTCCGCCTCTGGGACATCATTCCCGCCACAGGCCCTGATTCCAGGTGCCTGACTCAGGGCGCTGAGCTGAGCTGGATTCCAGCTTGTTCCCTCCAGCCCAGCCTTTCCTTCCCCACCAGCTCATGACAGGGACCCTAGACCTCCAGGAACTCCTTCTTTTCAGTGCATACCCTCCAGATGAAGCCGGGGAGATACACAGGACACTTACTTTCCTCAGACAGTGTGATGTTGAACCTGGTGGGGGTGGGCAGGGATTTGTGCTCCACCACACACTGGTAGGTGGTCCCACTGTCTTCCAGGGAGGACTTCAGTTTCAGCTGGCTGGTAACACTGAATGAACCGTCCTCTCTCTTCGAGGGGAGGCTAGTGTCAACGCCCTCAGTGATCTCTTGGAAATTGGGATCCTTGGGGGTGCGCTTCACCCACTTTATGCTAATGGCTTCTGGGTAGAATCCATCCACCTTGCATAGAATATGTTTCTCACTATCATTTCTCATTGTGGCGTGTCCCTCAGTCAGTGTGATGGCTGGGTGAGCTGCCAGGGAAGAGAAATCACACAATTGGCCGGGCACCAGGCACCCATTTTCCCCTCATAACACACTGACTGGCTTCTACCTCAGCCATACATCTTTGCATCACGGCAACAAGACAGAAAACACAGGATGTTACTCTTTAAAGAGAGACAGTCATCGGGGCTCAGAGCACAACTCACAGCTTCCTGCTGGACTTACTGAGAGCTGTCTCCAAATCAAACAACAAAACCCAAAGCCCTAAAAAGTAAACAATAGAAATTTGGGGGATTTGGGGGATTTGGCTCATGGGTGGAGCGCCTGCCTAGCATGCTCAGTCTTCAGTTCAGTCTCAGCTCCATACACAAACACCACACGGGCCGGGCTGCAATCAGTCCCCGCAGCACTATGCGCCGGCTGGTGATCACACTTGACTGTGGGCAGGGGAGTTTCTCATCTGCCCCTGTGGAAACCACAGCGAGCCTTCAGGAAAGTGAATGACCATCCGTAACTCCAGTTCCAGGGGATTCCTCTACCATATTCTGACCCTCGCAGGCTCTGCACAACACGGGTATACTTACACACAGGCAAGAAATACACTCGTACACATAAAATAATAATAAATATTAAAAAAGAAAACCCGGTGTGGCACCGATAAAGCATGGATAACCAAGCAACTGAGGTGACACAAGCCTGTAAGCCCAGCTCCGGGGAGGGAAGCAGGAGCCGCGTGTATTCAAGGCTGTCCTCTGCTAAATAGGGCGCTCAAGCCTAGCATGTCTGAAGAAAACAAAAATAAGCAAAAAATTAATAAATAATACATTGCCAAACTGTGAACCATGAAAGAAAAAGCTGGGCAGCAGAACTGATGAAAATTCAGCACCTGTGCTTTGCAAAAGATGTAATTGTTAACAGACAGTAAGACCAGCCACAGACTCTGAGACGTACTTTGGAATCATACATAGAATACAGGACAGTTATCAGGAACGTACACAGGGCTCAGGTACACAGTGAGTTCAAAACCAACACCAATTATACTGAAACCCTGCTTCAGAAAAGGATAGTGGACAGTGATGGCTCAGCAAGTTAACGTGCTTTCTACCAAGCCTGACCACCTGAGTTCAATCCCTGCAACCTTCCTGGGAGGAGGAGAGAACAGACTACTGCAAGGTGTCTTCTGACTGCACATGAATGCTCTGGGGTCCACAAGCCGCTGCCTACCCACCACCCACAGACATCAAGAGTAAAGAAATTTAATATTGAGTTAGGTAAATATTTTATTTATTATGTGTTCTGTTCTGTGTATGGGTGTTTTTGCCTGCATGTGTGTAAGCGCACCCATGTTGCAGAGATCGAAGAGGGGATCGGATCCTCTGGAACTGGAGTTACAGAAGGTTGTAGCTGCCATGTAGGTGATAGGGATCAAACTCAAGTTTTCTGCAAAGGCAACAATGCTTTAACTACTGAGCCAATTCTCCAACCCCCCCCCAAAATTAGTAAGATATGGAAAATTTTTTAATCACCTAGGGACAAGGGAGAGATGGCTCAGTCAGTGAAGCACTTGCTTTGTGAAACAAGGACCTGAGTTTCATCCCCAGAAGACAGCTGCTGCTGATGTGTGTTAGAAAACCCAAGACTGCCCCACCTCCCTCTGCTTCCCTGGGCCTGTACAACCCACAGGCCTCTGTCTCCAGAGTAAGTCTATCAGGCTCTCCATGCCTTGACTCCCCCAGCCTCATTCACCCTCCCATCTCCCTGCTGGTCTCTCCTCCTAGCCTGGGTCCTGACCCATTCCTTGTCTTGCGTCCCAGACACCTGGGGAACCACCACTGCTTCCTGATTCTTTGCATCCGGACCAACTCAGTTCCTTCTGGGGTCCCAGGAGGACTGCTTCCGGGCGAGGCCCCGCCCTCACCTCCCTCTACTTCCCTGAGCCTGCACAACCCACCAGCCTCTTTCCCGGATGCCAGGGCTGACCTTTCCTCTTCTTGGTCCTTTGCACCCAGACCAACCCAGCTCCTCAGTGCAGTCCCCAGGAGCCCTTGTGGCCTCTTCCCACCCCCATCTTCCTTTGCATCTCTGGGTGGCATGGCCACCAGCTGACCAAGAGCAGCATCTTTCCTGGGCCCAGCTCCTAGGCCAGTCTAACCCCCAAATTACTGAGGCCAAAATCATTCTTAGAAGATTCCGGACCTAAGGAGAAAGTCTGAAAACTTCTGATCCACATTGGAGTTGGGCCACCTCGGAACTCCTGAAGACAAAATCAATCCGGCCTCGACAATATAAAATCAAAAGAGAGAACCAGAAGCTAAGACGAACCAGCTCTTCATACCCAAAAAGTAAACCACAAAGACACATAAAGCTCAAAAATAAAAGAAGCAGAACTAAACTTGAAGGCCCGAGTATCACACAAGAGTCAGAAACTACAAAAGAAATTCACATGTCAAAATCACAGAGAAAAA